TTTAACGAAACATTCCTAATACGCCACTTCTACAAACCCTTATCTCCACTCTCCTCTACCTAAAATCGAATCTTCTCACAAGCAGCGAAATGAGCCTTAAGGACATTTCCCTGTTTCAATTTATTATCCTTCGTTGAATAGCAACAATCCTTAAACAGGAAAGTAAAAATGTGCGGGACGTAGATTTTGGATTCTCTTGCTTACTAAGCCCAATGAAGGTTTACCGGTTTCAGAAGAAATTTCCAGAGGGAATTTTGGTTGACCGAGAGCAACTTTGGCATTTTGGTTTACCGGGGCTCGAAATAAATGGAATGAAGTTGACCAAGAAAGGATGACGAAACACGTAGGGTGGTTTTTTTTATGTAGAGAAGAATTTAAACACGAAATAGATCAAATTTAAAAAAGATATTTAACAATATCAAAAATATAGTTTAATTAAACACAAAATAGGTCTATATTAAAAATATAGTTTAATACTGCATGAAAAAAGGAAAAGTAGGTAATGCTATATTCAAAAACATACCTGATAAAGTGGGCGGAGCACTATGACCACACCCACTTTTTTATTTATCAATGAATTTTGCTCGTTTTTTTGGCAAAATTCTCAATTTTATATGAACAAAGGTTTAATCATTATGATGAAATCTTTGTTTACATAAAATTAAATTAAATGTACTACATAGCAGGTGTTTACATTTATTCAAATGTAAAAATTCGCTGCGCTTTTTGTGAATAGATTTAGGTTTAGGAGTAAGGATGAAGATAAAGAGAACTTTAACCATGAATCTGAATAGGATTAGGTAGTTAGGTTTAGGAGTAAGGATGAAGATAAAGAGAACTTTACCCTTGAATCTGAATAGGACTAGGTAGTTGGGTTTAAGAGGAAGGATGAAGATAAAGAGAATTTGAACCTTGAACCTTGAATCTGAATAGGACTAGGTAGTTAGGTTTAGGAGTAAGGATTAAGATGGGTTTAAGGCAGCGTTTCGGATCCGGATCCGGATCCGTATCAGGAAACGTTGATATGGATCACGTTTCCTGATACGGATCCTGGTAGCGCCAAAAATTAACCAAAACCATGGAATAAATAAATCAAAATGGTTCGTAAATGTATTATTTACATGACGAAAATTTTTCAAAATTATCTTTAATAATTTAATGTTTACATTTATATAATAGTAATGACGACATTTTTAACTTTAGGATTACTATAGTTTATAAATTATAACCTTGCATAACATTTAATAGGGAAAATCCGATTCACAGAATCAAAAGTTACCTCG